GCAACCAACCAAACCAAGGGCCCTCTGCTCTGCCCTCACTCAGCAACACCTTCCCTTCACCCAAACCTTCCTAGGCCTTCACCCTTTTCTCTTCCACACTGCACCCCATTCCTGCTCCAAACACACAAAACAGAAGCTGATCTCAAACAGGGAACTCAAACCCCTCAGGCAAGAGGATGCAACATCCCCTGCAGGAGGAAGGCACTCTTTCATTTCAGAAGGAAAACACAAAGGAATCTCACTTGGTCCATAATTTTAGAGTTGTGCTTGGCCAGAACCATGGGCATGGAGTCAGGAAGGCTCGTGAATTTGATGGTGTCCGGGTGCTGCCGATACTTCTTGTCACTCAGGATCTCGCTCGCCCTCTTGTTCTTCTCGGCGTCCAGAGACCCAATTGGGGACCAGCCAATGCCCTTCAGCCACTGCAGGTCCGACTTGTACACATTCTGCAAGGACACAAAGCAGCTCAGCACCCTCCTCACTCCATCCAGACACTCCTGCTCCCAAGGGAAGCTCTGCTGAACAGAACACATTCCCTGGGCCAGCCCAGCAACCAGCCACCAGCAAAGGAACTCTTGTCAAACTCAGTTTCCCACTTCTGCAACAGAACCAGCAGCTACCAAGCCACCACATACATTCCCTCTCCATCTTCTTAGTCTCCCCAGCACAGAACTGTCCCATTTGTCAATCTGCAGCTGGTGAAAGCATGGGAAGAGCCTTTGATCCCATCTCCTATGGTTCTTCATTCCATTCACCACTGCACTTGTCTTGGTCAACTCTTGGTCCTCCCAAAGCTAATATTTGACTCTGCTGCCCTTGCCCTGACACACAGACCCCTCCTCCACCAGTGCAACAGAACACAGGAGACACTTCTGCTGTCCCTCAGCCACCAAAGCAGCACTCACATCACTCTGCAGGTCGTACACGGTCTTGGCATGGACGACGTCGTTCTGGTCGGGCAGGCAGGTCCAGCGGTGCAGGGGGTGCCGGTAATCGGCATCGCTCACCAGCTCCTGGCACTTCTTGGCCAGCACCACCCCCAGCATGTCCACGGGGCTGCTGAAGCGGGTCTTGGACTTCTCAAAGTCCTTCTTGTACTCCCTGTCACTCTGGATCTTGGCCACGTGCATCGACCACATCATCTTGGGGTCGTCCTCGATGTTGCGGGCCCCGATGTGGTGGCCCAGCTGCTTTCTGTAGGCAGTTTTGTATTTGTACTGATGGGAGGCAGAAACAACAATTACCACCTCTTTTCAAGCTGCCTTTTTCAATGTCTCTGTTGGTAACATTGTGGTTAATCACTTTGCATCTAACAGATTCTCATTTCCTTGTTTATTTTCCCAAGATTTTTAGCATTTTATATAAGGTCCCCTAGATATGATGGGATCTTTTATAGTTATATACTATGACATTTTAAATTATTGTATTAATTTAATTAACTTTAGTGCCTTAAGAATTACACACCCTTGAAGAAGGGCAGCAATATAAAGAGTGGTAAAATTTTAGACCTCTCCTCCTTTTAAATATAAAACATGTTCATCCAAAAGTATATCCCCCTTCAATGCCCCACTGTTATTTT